GTGGTGAAAAAGTTAAGGTCGTTTGCGGCATTCAACCTATTAAACAATCATGTTTTTTTTTCTTTTGGTTCCAAACGTATTATTTTATGGAAAAGAAATGAATACTACTTGTCAGAATTTCTGATAATTTGAGACAACTGTAAGAACTCCGTCGTCTTGTAACTACATATTATTTTCTCACCAAATGTACCCGAACGAAAGTTTGCGATATGAAGTAACATTTTTACCATATAAATCACTGGTGAATAGTTCAATAATCTCTATTTTAATGGGCATTTGAGACACTTTTTGCGTGCGAGAAATATTTCGGTGATCACTAACAATATAAAATAAAGTCATATTGTGAAAGTCAAAAAAGAAAATCAGGTGATGAGTTTCTGAGCTGACCCTTGACCCCAAAACGCCGCGATCGTCGCACAGCGATTCTGACGTCAAAAAGGAACCTCCATGATTTTGATGACGAACGACGCGATGCGACGGGTGTGGCGATTCAAAGGTCCATAGTCTAGCATTGTATTTTGGGGACATGCTATAACACATTATATTGGAACCCAACTGCGAAACTTGTTATATTTCAGTCACTTGATCTTGTTGTGATTTACTTTCCATATTGGACTGAACAGATTTGCATCAAATGAGAAATCGCGGCAAAAATGTCAGGTCAAATGGCCTCTAATTCGGGGGGGGGGGTACTCCCTGCAATTTAACTTTCGTGGATGTGCCGCTCTTTGGGATGTTTTTTTTTCAGCCGTCTGCTCTTAAATTAAAGTGGGATCCACACAATTCAGGCATTTAGTCTAAAATGTGCAGCGACAACGGTACCGGGATGGCGGTCAAGCTGAAACCCTTTGTGTCAGCGAAATTCGCCCCTCAAAATGCAGCAAATACCGTTTCTCAGGGTACGGGCGACCACTAGCGCCGAAGATGCGAGGGATGGTGAGCAGATCTCATCCCCTCATGTAAACTTCCGTGCCGCCGCCTGTGTCTATAGTTGTGATGGATTTCACCCAGAATGCATATATACTTAGGGTGTAAGGCTTAATACAAAATATATGTATTTATTAAGATAATTTAGGTCTACTTTTAATATACCACGACCGTACTTTGGTGTAAAATGGGGTCTGTCTGACAAATGTTGGGTCTGAAATGGGGTCTACCGGACAACTGTTTGGTATAAGATGGGGTATACATTTTTGGTCCAAATTGGTCTAAAATGGACCCTGGGTTTTACAGTGCGGACTGCACACCTATACCATATCAGCATAAGTACCCCCCCCCCCCTCCGGTACTCTAATCAAATCAACACAGGGACGCGAACGCTGACGGAAACTACATTGGCGATATTCTCACGGTTTCACCACGAGAAAGTGATCGCAATTGAGACTCAGTCTTGCATTGTTTGGAAAATACACATAATAAATCCTAATTGTGGGATACCAGCAAAGCCTGACACAGGGACATGTTTTCATCGGTAGTGTTGACTGAATGGAGTGCCGATACAATGGGTTTGGTGTGCCTCGTTTCATTAGGCTGATTCGCTAAGAAAACGCAATATCGGATTACTTGTAGGCCACAATCGTTCTATTATATAGCTGTTTACAGCTTATTTGACTAATGTTAATGGTTTCAGGCAGGTCGTACAACTCATCGAGCGAGGACTGGTATTCTCGTTCCTTCACAGAATCCCGCGTTTTTGCGTTGAGCACGAGTGGCCAGGATGACATTTGACGTTGATTCGTCAGATTTCGGAATAATTCTGCTTCAGAATATGTTTTGTAGTGTCAAAGTTTCAGTTGTATGCCATTTAAGAACGCCGATCTGCCCAGAGAAATCTTACGAAAACAGTTTAACATGGTGTAGCGTGAGCATGCGCAGTTTGCTGTGATTCGCTTTCTTGAATGACAGAAACGTTTGCACGTTCCCGGCGTCCATAGCTCTCAACGGAGGGTGGATGTTGTGGGTAAGGCGGGGTCACCGTTTGACGTCAAGATAGCGCTCAATCACACTGGGGGCTCGTTAGTATATGCGGAACCCAAATCTGAGCGATGACGTAGTGCGCGAAGGGACGACATTTTTGGTAACAGTGACGTCACAATTCAACATTGTACAGTAAATACACTCATATAAGAACGCGCCTAAGTGATCACTCCTGCCATTTCTGTTGAGGATATTGTTCTTAGCACTTCTGTTTGTTTAGACATTGGAGCTTTGAACGACAGTCAATATGTTTTATGCTTGATAGAGGGCGCATTTTATTTTAGTTACTAGTACTAGTACATGTACTAGAAACTTTTAATCGTCACCAGTTCATGTCAGAATCGTAATTACCGTCTCCAGAGGGCGTCGTTTTGCAGAATCACGCATGGGTTTGGTGAGCAGAATGTTTACACCGGGTTTGCTAAACCGCGCAAGTTGAACGATGATCTTGCCCATTATTCTACTTTTTGTCCAACAATGGGTGTCGGAGTTGCTGTTTTTAAATCAATATAAATTTGTGATTTCCACGAGACAGTCTCCAGAATTGTTTGCACGTATAGGAGTTGAATCAATTACTAAACTTGTAATTCTGCTAAACCTTAATTCATACATACCAACGTTCGCTTCCACGAACTTGGTTAATACGATTTTAATCTTATTCAATACTGTAAGTTATCTTTTTTTTATTCTTTGCCTAATTCTATTACATAAAAAAAGTGACTAAACATTTATATAAACATAACTGAACTTGCTGTATTTAACTAGTCACAGACCTTGACTTATATACCTCGCCTAAAACTTATTTACAGGTTGGTCTAGCCCTGATAAAATATATACTAGTACTCAGACCCAATCCACAGCAAAAATATGAATTTATATATACCTCGCCTCAAACCGGAATGTGTATATACACCTCGATGAAGCACACATTTATAAATACCTTTCAGGATCATATATGAAATTATATATAGCCCGGCTCAAACCTGATTTATTTAATACCCATTTTCAAACTTGTATTCATATACACCACGGCTGAAATATGATTATATATATACACCTCGCCTCAAACTAGAATGTATATACACCTCGGCTAAATCCCAATTTTATAAATTCCTCCCGGAATCATATCTGAACTTATATATACCTAGGCTCAAACCTTATGTATTTAAAATTCTACTCAAATTTGTATTTATGTATACCGGGTCTAAAATTCAATCCATCGCTTGACTAAAAATTGAATGCATATAATTGAATTATATACCTTAGCAAAAGCCTAAATTTATATAATAACCTTGGCTTTAAATAACTGAAAAAGCAAGTAGGTTCTTGGTATTTTTGCAAACGTAAAAGCTAGAACGCTTTAAACGTTAATACTTTCTGACCAAATATTTAATAATCTATTTATTAATTTTGAATCAAATGGAAATTGTTATTAATTGGGTGTATGTTTTACAGGCGAATGTGCGCCCTCTCTGGCAATTCGACATGCCACTCTAAAGGCGCGTCTAACCAGATTCACCGGAGTCACTTACGTGAGGGGTGATAATTTGGTACAGATTAAAGAAAATGAAAAAAACGGCATTTTACATTTTTACCAGGAAATGAAAGTTCCATTTACAATAAAAAAAATAGGTTTTTACACTTTACAGATAATTACATTTTACATTTTTATAATATTGTTGATATTGTTGTTGATAATTTGAGTTTAAAAATCAAAATTTGAAATTGGGTACGATTTACGACATCTAATTTGGAAAATGCTTTATACGCTTACAAAAAATAATATCTTTGTACAAATTATTGACGAGTTAAATAGCTGATTACATATTACAACTTGCCCATGTCTACAAATTTACGTTTTTTATTTATTTAAATTATTACGAAAACAAAAACAATTGATCACAGCTTACGCGTGACTCCTCGGTAGAATCACACACAGGTTCAGTGTGTTCACATCGAGGTTGAGCGAATTTTCCCCATAATTCCACATTTAGTCCAACAATGAAGTTGTATTTAGATCGTGATCAAATATTTTTTATGAAAAATAAAACACAAATATGAACGAAATCTGGTACATCACATGATGGTTTATCTGTTGAGCGTTCGGCTAAAACCTGGCTATCCAATAATTAAAATCGAATTTCAATCACACATACGTCTTTTAATGGAATTTAAACACTGTTTTCGCAAAGGATTCAGTTGAAATTAAGCACAACAATTTTCAAGTCCAATAATGATATAAAGGAATTTGTCTCTTTTCACCCAGAGCGAACGCGTTTATTGATAGCCTCGGCATATGTTATTACAATCTTGCGTACTGAACCGAATGCATCTCCTCCCTCATGCGAGGCCAGGCTTCCACTAGACCACAGTCACTCTACTAGGACCTAGTAGGGCGACTGTGACTATACACACAGGATAAACACAGCTAAATTGTACACTTTCACTCTGCCAACCGTTAACGTCACACATACATTATAGATGCACCTTGACCCGGAGGTAAACGCTTTATTATGTTAATTAGCCAGTCTCACTCACAAACAGTATTGTTTACATGTATGCTGTACCTTTCACGCCGTGGCAGACCCAATTTGACTAACAATACGAACAGGTCGAGATGAATACATACATCGTTCGTTTTTTCAACATCGTAAAGGTAAAAAGGCGCGTCTAAACTACCGCAGTTCAAAATTGACCTCGATGTATTGAGCAACCACCTTGCAGGCAGTGATCTTTTAACAGCGCCACGATGTCGCGTAACTCCAGCTATCCGCCACCGCCTCCCCGAACACGGAGTCGTCAGACGACGTACGATAACCCGATGATGACGAACTATGCCGTACAAACGGAAGACATCCCTCGGTACGTTCCACACTACGCTTCCAGACCACAACAAACGCACAGTCCTCCGACTACCATATCTACAGTCGACGCCGTGGTTCGACCGCCGTCGAGGCCACCATCTGAAAGATCGGACTACCCTTCGGAAAGCATCAAATTTGAGGAGAATAAAGGGTTTTTCTTGTCGTACTGGCGAGCTGCGTTGATCGCAATTGGTGTTGTCTTACTGTTACTGTTAGTCGGATTGCTCGTGGGGTTCCTGAAACCGGGACCGACGCCTCCGAGCAATGTTACGGTGACGGGAGCGCCGCCTACGCTAGATCCCAGCAAATCCTGGAACCATCTAAGACTGCCCGATACGATGGAACCGATAGAGTATGACCTTCACCTGCGGATCAACGTCGATGCAGCCCGGTTTAACGGGTCCGTCTCAATGACGGTTCGCATTCTCCAGGACACCGACGAGGTGCTAGTGCACGCAATGACACTGGACGTAACACAATCATCTGTATCGGTCGCGGAGAAGGACTCCAAACGGAACGTACCAATCACAAACCAATTCGTATTTGAACTCCACAACTATTACGTCATCGAATTAGGCGAAACATTGAAAAGTGACGAGAGCTACGTCATCACTTTCGGTGACTTTACAGGCAGGCTATTGCCCGATATGACGGGATTGTACTTAAGCCCGTACAGGATGGCAGGACAGGAACGGTAAGTTGACCTACATTTTTTAAACTTTTTTTTTTCAGATTTGGTATATATTTGTTGGTGAACACAATTAAATTTTTTTCCAAGCATGGGCAACTACGCAACAATATCATTGTTAACTACTTAAAGCGGAGGGGTCGCCACCTGCACTCGCGCGGGAATTGAGTCCCAAGCGACGATAACAATGCATGCTAAAAACGCAAAGGCTCATGGGTAGTGGCTGGTTTGTAAATAACGACATGCTATGGCCATCTGTCGCGTGCGCAGGTGACGACTCCCCCTCTTTAAAGAGCGCTGGTCGTCGCACCGCGTCCTGTTCGATATGGACTCATAGCGACGTACACAACGCGCGTAAAATACATTGTTTGTTTACATGAAATTCGAACACGCGCTGCGCGACGACCACCACCCTTTAAATATATAAACAATTAATATAAAACCGATTTGCATCATTATGATTTGATATAACGACGGACACTTCAACAAGTGTGCAATATGTTTGTATGTTTTATTTAGTTGTGTTTGTTTTTTCAGGATGATTTTCTTATCATTCTGTAACATTTTGCTGTCATTTCATTGTAAGTTTTTTTTTTCAAATTATTTTCTCTGC